ACTGGGAGAATTATGCTGAAATCATCTCCTCTGCTAGAGTGGAAAGAACACTTGTTGGGGAGTCAGGTCACCTGGTCTCAGACCCAGGCTCTACAACTTACTTCTTGTGAAACCTCTAGTCTTGTCTCCCACAACTTTGCTAATTTCAGTTAATTTAGTTGACTCTCTGGTGTTCCCTGAGTAATCTTCGTGTCGTCTGAAAAGGCAATACTTAAGTTTTCTCTTTGCCTGTGCTTATTCCTTCACTCTCTTTTTCTTGTCTGATCACTATAGCTAGCATGTCTAACACTATGATAAATAGTAATGTTGATAAAAGATGTCCTTGATTTATCCCTGTTCTTATTGAAAAGGCTTCTAACTTTCTTGATTTCATGCAATGTTTGCAGTTGGATTTAGATGAATGCTGTTTACTCTATTAAGGTCCATTTGTTCCTGATACTTAGAGTTTTTAATGGAAATAAGTGCTAGATTTTATCAAAAGCCTTTTCAGAATCTATTACTATAATATTATGTTTTTATAATTTATATTATTAATATGGCTTATTATATTTGTAGTCTTCCTTACATAGAATCCATCAGAGTCCAAAACTTCTCTGAATTTCAATTTCTTCCTCTGGAAAAAGAAGGAGGTACTACCCAATGAATGCTAAGTTCCCTTCCAGCTCGAGGTCTGTAATTCTAGAATCATGCGGTAATTTAGGTGGCGCCATAGTGCTCAGAGCGCCAGGCCCGGAGTCAGGAAGATTCATCCTCCTGAGTTCAAATATAGCCTCAAACACTTTCTAGTTGTATGACCCTGTTTCCCTCAGTTTCCTCATCTGTAAAATGAGCTGGAGAAGAAAATGGCAAACTACTCCAGGATCTCTGCTAAGAAAACCCCAAATGGGGTCACAAAGAGTTGGACCTGCCCGAAATAACTAAACAAGAAATAATGTGATTTTAGGTTTTTGAAGTCACTTGAAGGTTCCTGTGAAAAGGGTTTTCAGACTTTAGTTTATCTTTCTTACCGGCCTTACCTGGGTAAGAGCAAATACCAGGATAGAGTAATAATTCACTTGCCAGCAATTTCTTTGTGAGCAAATTAGGAGATGCCCCAAACCATTCATTTCTGAAGAGGTAACAATATGAGTAACAGATCACGTATCTCATATCGCCCTCTTTAAGATGAAAGCCACGTGTTAGATATGGCTGCCTCTTCCTGGCTTGGTTTGATAAAAGGATAATGTTTGTAATGTAGGTTATCTTTGCCTCTTGGGAATCATTCATCAAAACTCTTAACAAAATGGAGACTGAGTGTCACATGTTTGATTTGGGTTCTTTTGAAACTGTCAGATTGGAGAACTAAGCTGGAAGGGACCTCAGAGCCCATTTTGCAGATGAAGAAAATGAGGCCTAAGGAAGTCGGCTAAGTGTCTTGGGTAAGATCTCACAGGCAGATCTCGTTGGCATGGCTGCGATGTGATCTCAGGTCCTCTGACCTGAGTCCCAGTGTCAGCCCAAATTTGTTCAAACAAGTTGGGCTGTAATCCAACTTAACAGGTTTATTCTGGGTTCATCAGTGTATAGTTCACTAATGGCCATTTCCCTTAATTTTGTCCAAGTCAAATAGAGGTCAGTCATTAATTTTCACTGTGCTTTTGATGACACCCTGGTCCGTTTACTTCCTGTTACCTTTGCCTATCTTCTGTACTGTGTCTCTGTCAACAGGTCGCCTTTCTGTCCTCATCCCTGTTTTTACTCAGATCATTGCCAAGTCAGGTTTTACTTTATTGCTTTCTTCTCTCCACCCTCACTCTACCCCCTTCAGAGAAGGCATCCTACCTCAGCCCCCTCCAGTAGCTGTTAACTTATTTTTCCTTCCCTAGAAGAATCTTTATGGGCAGATCCTCTATCTCCTCCCCTTGCCTCTCCTACCTCAGAAGCCCTGGTGTACTCTTTACCCCCCTCCCCAAGACTCGCTCTACAACTTGCCAATGCTGAAGTGACTGGGACGGCTTGAGTCTAGCTTTGAAATTCATACGAATCTTTCCGCCATCCCTTACATACAAAGTACTTGCTGTTAGCATCCTTTGTGTGACTTTGTCTTTCCGAAGGATCTGAATGAAAAAGCATTAGGGGATGCCCTGCTACTCCCTCTCTTTATCTCTTTGTCCCCTTAACAGCAAAAATCACTTAGAAGACGTAGGGTTATGTGCCGACTTGCTCTGTTCTTTGGTGGGACAAAGAAGGAAGAGAAACGGTTTCTTGCCTGATGACATAGAGGGTAGCAGTGGGACATGAAGAAGGTGAGCCCTAGGTCACAAAGAACACAAGAGGATGTGTGGGGAGCTGACCAGGACTGAGAAGGATCCCTCGGGGCTAATCCTCAAAGATTTCCCTGGGCAGAGGCCCTAATCTCTCTCTGCAGATCTTTACTGCAAACCTCTATGAATCAATCCCTTCTCCCGCCCCTCACCTCCATCGTAAGCAAGATCTTCACCTCACAATAAATGCTTGTTGGTTGATTGAGTTCTTGATTGGTTCCCAGACCCCTCCCAGCCCAGCCTCTACCTTTCTGGGGGAGGGTGTTTTTGGGGGTGCTTTCCTCCCTCTAAGCGAGTTGGGGAGAAGAGGAAGAGGGCCTGGCTATTCCATGCTCCAGGGAAAGAGATGTTCTTGGTACTCATAGTTAGGGCTGTATTTTAGGTGTTCAGGTGTGTGATGGCTTAAACATCCGACCTTGGAAACCTTCCTCCAGGCAATCAGTCAGTCTGTCAGCAAGCATTTATTTAGTACATCCTATGTGCCAAGTACTGTACCCACCCTGGGGATTCACACAGGGAAACAATCCCTATTCTCAAAGACATTGTTCCTTAGCAAAATGCCTTCCAAGTCCCAAGCATCTGATGAACAAATGAGCAGTTCTTAAATCAGAGGGAGGAGAGTGACCATTTTTGGATTAGTAATGAAAGAGAGCTCACAGTGTTGTGGGGCACCTTTTTGGTCCCTTTTCTTTTCTTAATCAATGGCATACAGCTTTTAATCATAATCACAGTGCCAAAACACTGGGAAATAAACAGAGTTCTGATTTAATTACTTGGCAAGTATGAATCAGAAAATACTTTGACTTTTTAAGTCATTGCAAGCTTTAAGTTCCTCTTTGTATGTTAATTACAAGAATAAAGAGCTCAGGGTCTGTATTTGCCCAGAATATGAAAAGGAAGTCCAAAAGTGAAAATATTTCCTTGGATTAGGACCAGTGGAAAAAGAGTTGAGAAGGAGATTATGTGTTTTGGAAGGCCCTCTTGTGGAGAAAGGTTGGAATAGCTCAGTAAGTACAATGCCTTTGATGTGTCAGTCCATCAAACCATCCCAGTCTAAGTCAGTCAATAGGCATTTATTAGGTGCCGACTACGCACGACGTTTTGTGCTAAAGCTCGAGATAAAAATCCGAGTGATCAAGACAGAGTCTGTTCTCAAAGAGCTCACGGTCTACAAGATGGAGATGACATAGATGGAGACAAACACAGATGGAGACAGTGTGCGTTGGTGACGACCAGCAGAAGGAGGGCACTGGAATTAAGGAGGATAGCAAAAGACTTCTTGCAGAAGGTGGGATTTTAGGTGGGACTTCATGGAATCCACGAAAGCCAGGAGGGAAAACATTGCAGGAGGGGGATAGGCAGGGATAATGCTGGAGTCAGAAGATGAAATGTCTTGTTTGAGGAGCAGTGAGGAGGTGGGGTCACTGCTTCAAGGACTAGATGGGTGGGGAGGAGAGTGTAAAGTATTAGAAGACTAGAAATGTGAGGGGGCAGGTTACGAAGAGCTTCGAATGCCAAACGGGATTTTGTATCTGATTCTGGAGGTGATAGGGAGCCATTGGAGTTTATTAAGTAGTGGGGTGGGGAACGACTTGGGTGGACTTAGTGAACTTAACAAACTAGTTAATCAGCAAGCATTTATTAAATAAGTACCTGATGGCGGCCAGGCGCTGCGCTGAGCACGAGAGATACACACAGGGATAAAAGTCTATGTGTTGGATGGTGACTCAGTCACTAAGGTGAATTTTAACCAATTTCAAAATATTTTATTTTAGAAATGAGTATCATGGAAACTTTGAATACAAGACAACACATTTAGATATGATAGGAGGGGGTTGCATGGGTAAATGTATGGGTAAATAATGTATATCAACACTGAAAATTCATTAACCACTAATTAATTAACCTGAATCATTCCATCCACATCTCAGTCTGGTGAAAATTAACCTAATTTTCATTTTCAGCTTGCTCATTTCTCTCCCACGCTTCAAGATCCATAATTTTGTCAGTCAGGTCCTTCTGCTTCCACTGGCACAGATCGCAAGCCCTCTGTAACTTAGCAGGTGCTGTCCCACAGTGGCTATGATGGAAAATGCACCAGCCTGCAGCCCTCCTGCTGATGGGTCTCCCCAGGCTTTCCTAGATGATGTATGCCTATTACTAATCCCAGCTTGCTGCCCGAGTCCCCCCAATCTCCTTGTGTACCTAGTTATTAACATGTTTTCTGGACCATTTGAAGGTAAACTCCTTGAGGGCAGGGAGAGTGTCTTTGCCTTTCTTTGTGTTCTCAATGATTAGCACATAATAAGCACTTAATAAATGCTGATCGACTTATCCATGGAATTGTGTATTACTAAATTTACTCAATAAATCTTTGATTATTTCAAAGAAGGTATGCTGCATAGCTTAGATCATTCACTATGATTAACATGATACCTGCTTTTCTTTTTTTAAAGGATACATTTTATATGTGGATAAGTAGCAATTAAGTTATATATTTCTGTTTCTGAAGTCTTATTTGCAGATTACTCAGGTACTTAATTTATAAAATACCACGATATTCAGATTATGAATCTTTCTATTTTTGTCTCATTTAGTAATTTATTAATCATTCATTTTTAGAAGTTAATCCCAAGCTGAGAAGGATTCTGTTTGGCAGGATTTTTCCTAATTATCTTTCCCTCGATTACCGTACAGGTATGTCGAGAGTATCAACGGGGCAATTGTAACCGAGGAGAAAATGACTGCCGATTTGCTCATCCTGCTGACAGTGCTATGATTGATACCAATGATAACACTGTCACCGTGTGCATGGATTACATTAAAGGGAGATGCTCTCGGGAAAAGTGCAAATATTTCCACCCTCCCGCCCATCTACAAGCCAAGATCAAGGCTGCCCAATACCAGGTCAACCAGGCTGCAGCTGCCCAGGCTGCAGCCACTGCAGCTGCTATGGTAAGTCACGGAAGCAGCTTCTCCTTTCAAAGAAAATTTGAAAAAGGAAATACATTAAGCTATGTGTTTATTCATTTTATTGGTTTTTGTTATATTGAAAAAAAAACTTTTTTTGCTGACGATAAAGTGGTTCAGGTATATCCCAGTGTTTTCAGCGAAGCTCTTAAACAGTTTCAGATTGATTTAAAAAAAATTATTTCCCTAACTCACTCTCTTCTATTCTGAATCAGAGCTATAACTAAGATGTGACAATCAGAGTTTTGCCCCAGCTTGCTGACTTTTGAAGTCTCAGCCACCACTTACTGTGCTTCAGGAAGACAGACACAATAGAGCACCTAATGAGCGAGAATAATTAGCCAAAAGAGGAAGTTACCAAAGGTTGGCTTGAGGTGAATTCCCTCCTCATCCTCCCCTGCTCTTCCATCGACCTGAACTGGGGACAAATGCACATTGCATTGGCCTTGGTTATTGGTACTTTCCCCCCGGGGAACAAACCTCCTTAGTTACAGCTCTGTTTCTGAAAGTTGTGAAGTGTAAGTAGCAGCATGCTTATTTCAAGATTTAACCATATCACCGTCATTCCTGCACTCATTCTAATTGGTCATTCTTTTTCCCTTGGTGTATACACTTTGTACACACCAGAGGTTCTACCTTCCTCTGCCCTGCTTTATAACAATAATGCAGTCTGGAACACTTTAGGAGGACAGCATCAAGCAAATAGTGTCTAACTTTAAGTAGGACATTAAAAAAATTACTTACTGTTTTGACTGTCTTGAATAACATTATGACCTAAGAATAACTGCAAGCTGAAGAAGCATACATCTACCATTTTCTAGAGTAGAAGAAGCACAATACTTCTGAAGGAAAGTTTCAGGTTAATGGTGGAAAGAAAATGTATTTTTAAGCTACATTATAATGTGGTCTAATAGCTGATTTTCATAGGTTCATTCTCTGTTCCTTGATTAGCTGTTGTTAATGTTGTCTTTTTTTACATAAATACTAATTTGATCATTAAAGTGTTCATATTAAATATTGTTATGTGATATTCATAGCCCAGTAAAATATGAGAGTTCTTTTTCCAATGTGTTTCCTGATGGATACTTGAGAGAAAAAAAATGCAGAAGTTAGATTCTCTTCCTATCTCTTCTTTCACTCTTTTTTCCTGTTAGAATATCTTGTTTGTAATTAACTACATAGAGGTTGTATCCTCACAATAACAACTTAGTATTGCCTTTTATTGTGCATGCTTAGTCTTGTTATTCGTTGTATATGGCATTCCGATGATTTGTTTTTTTATTTGTTTTTTTCTCACCTACCCAAAAATGCACTGCTGCCCCCATGATGCACCTCTGCTTGCTGTTTATGTTAATGCGCTTGAACCCCACTGGCCCATTGCCATCATGTGCTCGCTGCCTGCTAATTAAGACTCAGTCGGCTGTCAAATCACTGAAGCGACCCCTCGAGGCAACCTTTGACCTGGTACTATGACCTTTCACCTTTTAGCTTGGCATGTAGCTTTATTGTAGATACGAGTTTTTTTTTATTATTTAAAAAAATAAATATTCCTTTTTTTTTTCTGTTGTAAAGTTTTAAAATACAATGGAAAACTGAGTGTGGTTTCCTGATATGATTAGTGGGGAAGGCTACTAAGTAAATCTCTGTCTGTCCACCAACCAACCAAAGATTCTTAAAAGTCCATTGGCCCACATTCAGTTTAACTGCATTGTAAGATGTTCTGATAAAGTATGTAGAGGACGCTACAGTTCTATCTATGACTGACTATGGATGGATCAATTTGGTTGGCATGGCTTTAGGGAGGTTCTTCTGTAGTTTGGCCATAGGTAGCTCAGGGGTGAGGTACCTGCATGCCCCTGGTGCCATTTGCATGTTGAGTTAGATGGGGGGGGGGTGGGCCGGGGCAGGTGGGAGCAGAGTAACATGGAGCTTCCCTGCCGCAGTCACTCTTATCAGTAAGATGATGATTAACCTGCTCGTGGAGCTAGCAGCTCACCTTGTCCTTTTTCCAGAATAATGGCTTCCTACTGTAAGCCTGAAGCATTGTGTAACTTCGAAGCACTTTAGTTCATAATAACATATGGCTCCAACATGTTTTCTTTAACTAGTGTGTTTTTTTTTTCTTAGACTAAAGTAATGCTTCCTTTAAAGCTTTTATCTTGCTTTTTTTTTTGTTTTGTTTTTTTGTTTTTTTTTTTGTTTTTTTTGGTTAGTTAAGTCTGCTCTGCTGCTTGCTTGCTCATGGAAAAAGATGGTGCTCCCTAACTATTTGAGCCTTCTACTGATTTTTTTCTTTTTCTTTTCTTTTTTTTACTGGTCTTTGTTTTTTATACTCATTCACCACACAGGGAATCCCACAAGCTGTTCTTCCCCCATTACCAAAGAGGCCTGCTCTTGAAAAAACCAATGGTGCCACGGCGGTCTTTAACACTGGTATTTTCCAATACCAGCAGGCTCTTGCCAACATGCAGTTACAACAGCATACAGCCTTTCTCCCACCAGGTAAGGAGTTGGGGCTTTGCCTACAGAGAGTTGCCATGACCTTTCTGTAGCTTAGCTGGTTACACTGTGATGAAGCAAGCAATCTACATTCACAACCAGATTTTCAGAACTAGACAAAACCAAATGTGAAAGTCTTGTTTTGTCATGATTGTTCAGTAAGAGACCAGTGACTTTGTGTCTCATGCTGACTTCCTATGAGATGATTTCTTTGGAATTTAGTATTTTTCTTAATGTATTATGGACTGTATGAAACGAGACTTAGGGTCTTCCTTAAAATGAAAATTTAAATTATGTTCTCATCTCCTTTTCCTCTGTTCTCACTATCTAAATAACTAATTCATTTTATACTTTCTTGCTCCAAGACCCTTACTGTTTTCAAATTGTTCACTAGGAAGATATGAAGTGGCACCTTGTTAGAGGGTTGATTTTTCTGTTTTCATTTATCTCCCTTGAAAGGTAGGTAGAGAAAACCTGAAGAGACAAGATGGCACCAGCTGTCCCATAGGTCTGCAAAGAGATTGTCCACTGATTCCAATCGCTGTATTGCCTTAAATAAATGAGTTACTTACTACTCTTCCCTAAGTAATCTGAGAGTTTCTGCTCTTTCCCTATTTGCTCCCTGTGAATATATAAAGCTGGGATCTCAGTTAATTTCAAACTCAACCACAGACATAAACTCTCTGTCAAGATTATTTTCCTCCAAAGGTTAAAACTCAAACATGGTTTGATTTTTTCCCATTAAAGGAGCTGAAACTATAAATGAACATTTGAAAATGAATTTATTTTCCTGCCATGATTCCACTGAATATTTTTCAGAAATATATTTGTTAATTTAGTTTTGTATCATTTGTGATTTTGGTCAATTCCTAAAATGAATATAGGTTTATTATAGCTAGCAAAAAGAAACAGTAGTTAGAGGACCTAGCCTAACAGTGTGGAAAAACTGGGTAGAAGAGCTGATTCTGCCACGTACTGGCTGTATGACCCTGGTAAAGTCACCTACCTTCTCAGTGCCCCCAGCCAACACTCTATAATGAGCAAGTGCCAGTCTGCATTGATGGAAGGAGTTTCCTCACTGCAATCTTTCTATTCTAAAGAAATCATGGGCCCAATTAATAAAAAATTATAACTACTGATACTGCCCAGTGTCAAAATTGCAGGTTAATTGACATATGTGGGAATGAGAATTCTAATTCATGTCCTCCAGGCTGCTGGCTCAAATAAGGGGTGACTGTAAGCAAATTAACGTTGTTTAGATGGTTTATCTCAATTCTTTAGAACAATTAAAGTTTTCTAGTTCTGAAACTGGATAGGGAAACACTATAGCTTGAACCCTAGGTCGGTAAAGGACTAAAATTTGAGTACATTGGAAACTTTCTTACAGTAAAGGGTTCAACTGTCCGTTTACCAGGTTTATCCTATTTATCTCTGTATGCCATAAGAAGGGCACCCGAGGCCATTTTTACAATTCTCGTCTGGCAAACCCAGTTAAACCCACATTCCCCCACGTGCTCCACCTAAGTCTTACTTTATTGCTCAATTGTGGTAGCGAGGTGGCCCTGGACACTCCAAGATGAGGGCAGTGGGACACAAGTTCTGGTATTTCCTATCATGTTCAAAAGGCCTTGAGCCTGGAGCGTATGTGTACGCTGCCTTTGGCTGGAGCACTAACCTTGCGTAGGTCTGAGAACCTCGTCCCTAGAATATTGGGCAGTGGGTGATGAATTTTTTCAGCTACATCAGCACATAAAAACAATTGCCTTTGAGACTGAGGGATTGTAATCTGTATCTGACCTGTGAAATCATAGATTGGTGGCACATTCCCATCTGAAACATAAAATTTCTTCCTTCTTTCAGTTTTTTTCCCCTTTCATTAGAAGTGTGTGTGTGTGTGTATGTGTGTGTCCCAAAAATCTTAGGGCATTTTTAAGCTTTTAAAGGTTACGGCTTCTCTAAGACTTTTGGGACAACCAGTATAGATATATATCATACACACAACACAATATATGCACATACATATATATCTTTATAGATATATGTGTATCTCTAGATATGTATTCAGACATACACATAAATATGCATATAAACACACACACATATATGTGGATAGACATATATCTATCTATCCATGTCTCTGTTTAGAATAACAATAATAGGTAACATTTACACAGAGCTCACTTTGTGCCAAGCATTCTGCTATGTGCTTTGTGATTACCTTAGCTGATGCTCACAACAGACCTGAGAAGAAGGTAGTATTATTAATCCCATTTTATAGATGAGGAAGTTGCAGTAAATAGAGACTAAGTGCTTTGCCCAGGGTCACACAGCTAACAAGTGTCTGAGGCCGGATTTGAATTTATTTCTGCCTGACTCCAGGCCCAATGCTCTATCCACTATCCTACCAAGCTGCCCCTAAATAAAAAAAAAATCATTATAGATGCCTCCAATTTGAAAAGTACCATCCTACAAATTATTTTTTCCTTTTCTTGCCAATGTACAATTAGGAAGCGGTTCAGAAAATCAGAGGGAGGCGGTTTAACATAGTGGATCTCTGAGTCACTGTAGGCAGGTCCCCCCAGAACCCCCCAGGAAAACCTCTAAGACTCTAGATTACAGAGAAGGGACCACTGGTAGAGGGAGGTTCCGTACCTGGGAGTTTACTATACAAGTGAAATGACAGGTCTAGTCCCTGGCCTTTCATCGGAGCAAAAAATTGGTTTTAAAACAGACGTTCTCTCATAAATTCCCAATTTTGGCTACTTAATTGAAGGGAAAATGGACGTGGAGGGGCAGTTTTGCCTTAGGCTGGAGAGTGAGGGGTGGCGTTTAAGCAGCCAGTGTCCATTTATCCCTCCTTGTTAACAAACCAGTCCTTTGGAAAGAAAGAGAAATATTAAAGGTCTTTCACAAGAGATTGTTTTATGGGTAAACGGGTCCTACAGTGCTAGGTTTTCTGTTTTCGTGAATCATTGCCCCCAGCAAGTATTCTCCCTGCTGCCTTCTGTTCATCTGTGGCTGATCCCTCCCCAAAATGTCTGCACATATTGTAATCTTCATGGTGATGATAACTCAGACTAAAATTCGAAATGAAAGGCTTTACCGTTCCATATTAGAAAGAGATTGCAAAGCTAACTGGTTTTTAGCATGCAGACCTAATTATGCATGGAATGATAGAATACAGCAGGTGAGTTATAACATGGAAATAGGCATAGAGTAATGAGAAATGTCTAATATTCCACAACCTTTAAACTGCTTTTTACCAGTAAATACCTCTTCAGTGTGTACATTTTCTTTCCCCCCTCCATCAGAGTAATTAGAAGAACTAATGTATTTCTGCTCCCTGCCCCGCAGCCTTAAATTTAGCTTGTGGTTTTGTCTTGTATTAGCTTCCACATTATTACCAGTATAAATCACTTCTGTATCTATTTTCTTCTGAAAGGACAGTGCCTCAGAAGCACTGCAAACTAGAACAGTGGGGCACAAGACCCCAGACACCCCAAATCATAGCCTATAGTGGCATCGTATTCTACCTTGGAAAATCTTTCCCTTGATACACGACCAGCAGTCCTGCTTTTTCCTGATATCCAATTGGCCCATTTTAGGAACCTCCAGTGAAAATCCTCTATATGCCACCATTTTTTCACTGGCTTACTCCCTCATAGGTACGGTCTGCTTGACAATGGACCCATCCCACTTTCGGGCAGATGGGGCAAGGATGTCAGGGAGAAAAATGCATATTCCTGGAACTCAGAATGCATTTTCTCATAAAAACCTTCGTATACCTGATGATTCACAGATTTCTACTCTTAGATGATGACAGATTTCGAGCTTGAAAAAACCCTTAGAGATGATGTACTCCAAATCACTCCCTTTTTCAGATGTGAAAATGGAGGCCCAGAGAAATTAATTGGATTACCTAGAGTCATAAAGAGAGTCATAAATTTGAGCAAGGCTCAAATTTGAACCCAGTCTTTCAGTTCCAAATCAAATACTGTTCCCCATTAGCCACTTTGACTTCCAATGTTCTAGAGTATTTTCAGTGCTCTAGAATGGGGCGAGCACTGGACTTGGAGGTAGAAAGTCTGGTCCCTGGACAGGGCTACCTCCCTTGCAATGTGTGTGACCTCGAACAAGCTGTTTTGGCTCTTTCTCAACCCTGGTTTACACATTTATAAAATGAGGCTAACAATCCTTGCTCAGACCAATTTATTGGGCCATATCACATGAGAAGATTGTTTGGTAACCATAAAGTAGTATACCAAGGAGATAATGGCCACAGTAGTAATAAATAATAACTAGTATTTCTATGCTGCCCTAAGTTTTGTAGACAGCTATTCTTACGACTATTCTAATTCAGGGGCATCGTGAGTCAAACGTTTTTTGTGAGCTTGCCTAGGGACATAACCACTTTGTTTAAAGCTGTTTCTATAGGGAAAATGCCTTCTGACTCCCCAGCCATCGCACAGCACCAGCTAGCGTGCCTGTCCAAGCTTTCTTTGAGTGTGACAACAACTTACCCACTGCTCTTCTCGCTATAACCGCAGTCATTTATTATTACCATTTATGACATTGTTCTGAAGGGCTGCCTCTGGAAAGGCTCCATTAGCAAATGCTTTTTGAAGGAGAATTGACCCCAGGTGCCACCAGCAAGTTGTATTTAAGATGAGAGATGCCAAGTTTCAGGGTTGAAAAATAACATCATTTGATCTTTTTATATCCAGCTACTTAAAAAGGTCTCTGTCTTAACAAAAGTCATTCTGCATATGGGAAAATGCCTATTCCTGGAGGGTTTTTTTTTCAAGTGAATTAGATTTTCATTGCTCATGTGTCAAGGGAAAAAAACGAGGGCTGCTTGGTATTTATCATATTTCTTTTGACATATGCTGGTGGAAGGATTTGTGAGTAATAATGGCGAGGCCTTATCTGCTCACTGCTTAACCTCACCTGTTTTCCCCAAAGCATGCATCATAAGGCTTGCATTGAAGTCCAGTCACTTTTTAAAGTATCATAAACTCAGCAAAATGTCCACATTGATATGGTGGCCTGGGTGATCGTTCAAGCCTCCTGTGCCTAATCCTGCCGTGGATGCCTCAGTCTGCTCCTGGGGATATAAGCCCTAGTGAAAGAGGTTGCATCTGTATGAGACTAAACTGCTTTTTGTCATCCTATCTTTAAATTCTGCATCCAAGGAAATCCAGACTTGTGTTTTTGACTTTTTGCTCAGTTTATATTGCATGGTGTCTTCATACCTTAGTTCACAAGTGTAGAAAATGACTGCATTCACCTCCACCACCAACTAACCGCACTCCCTGCACAGCCCCATACCCAGGTGATGTGTCTCTATCATGCAAGGCCCTATGGACCAAGGACAAGGAAGTAAGCATATGGGAACCCCCTTACTTCTGCTTGGTTGACCTCACTATGTTGTTAAGTCGATTTTGTCTATGGTACTCTTTAATGTTTTGTGAGAAAATGACATCTTGAATTATTTAGTTTAAGCTCAATCCAAAGGAAGAGTTAATGCATTATTACTGTATACCCAGATAGCAAGCCATTATAATACCATTCTTTGGACAGTAGCCTAGAAGCGTTTGGTTCCCCCACCCCCATAATGTTTAGTTATGAGTTGATGCTAGACAGCAGTAAGGAAAAGCAAAAGCAGACCAGCCCCTTCTTATGTTGCCTTTTAATCTTCCCTTGGGACCAGGCCTAACATATCACTCACTGGGCCATTGTATGATTGGATTGTGCTGATGGTTACGTGCCACTGTTCCCATAATAACATTTTTGTTTCTTCTTTGTTCAAAAGAATTTCCTAATTACACGTGTGATGGGTTGTTTTAATTCTTTTCCCTTTTCAAATCCACCTTCCTGTTGCAATGCATGATGGGCAGGCTCAATCTTGTGCATGACACCCGCTACAAGTGTTGGTAGGTGCCAGCTTCATTTCTTGATTATCTTCAACTGGTGGTATACCCCACAGCCCCTCAAAATCCACTGCTAGTTTAATGTGTGCGGCTCTTGGGCAAATTGACTCCCCCTGCACTGACAAAAACCTGTCAATTAAATGCAGTTCATCTCTTTAATTGACATGGATCAAGTAAATCCAGGAATTGGTGTTTTCCTTTACACACAATAGTGATTTTTTTTGGTCATCTTTTTGGTGGATTTTGATTGGACTGTGGGTTCTGGTATTTTAAGAAATCTATCTCATAAAAGTAATATATTGTGTTATCTTTATAGAAGTTAATATGGTAATAGATTTTTATTCAAATGGAGCTTTAGTAAACACTTATGTTTTCACTGAGATTTTGAATGTCTAAATGTGAGCTCATTTTAAGTTTCCTAAGTTGACTTAGCCAAATAAAGCTGTTTGTGTTATTTTCCTGATTTGATGGTAACAAGCTTTTTTTTCCCCTTTTTTTCTCTTTCATTTTTCCCTCTCCCTGCCCCCTCCCTCCTGTCATCCTCCTCCCCGGAATGTTGTCCTGCTTTGCACTGTGATTGCATGTCATTCGCTGGTGACGATGCCTCGTCACGCGGCTTACCGCTGTGGTAAACGCCCTGCCCGATGGTCCTCCCCATGTTACCATGGTTTCCATGCTGCTACACTCTTCTGTATGTTTGCTTATATGATTTTCCCTCCGAAAGTTCCCATGGTGCACGGTGCTACGCCCGCCACTGTGTCCGCTACAACAACGTCCGCCACAAGTGTTCCCTTCGCTGCATCAGCCACAGCCAACCAGGTTTGCTCATTTACAGCTTGTTTCTTTAAAAAAAAAATAAACCAAAACCAAAACCCCAACTCTCATGGGGCTCAGTCCAACAGCTCTCCCGCACGTTGAGCTCCCGTTGAGGTCCGTGGGAGCCATATGTCCGTGAGGGCTGGGGTGGTGCTTTTACTAAGCATGGGGGTCTCATATACTCCTCTTGTTGGCCTATACCTTCTCTCTTTGATGAGTGGCAGAATGCTTTTGTGCCTTGGCTCGGTGCTCCAAGGGTGTTGCCGCAACATTCCTAAAGGAAATCGGATTTACACTGGCATTTCTGACTTGGTCTTAACATTTCATGTAGAGATTCTGAGTACTGAAAGTAGGGATCAGAGGGTGTTCTTCCGGGTGCACATGAGGAGAAGTTCATTTGGTGCAGGGTGTCTTTCAGTTCACACCCACACTATTTTCAAAGAAAGAGTGGGGAAAGAGATAAATACCAAGGTCAATTCTTTATGCCAGAAATGACCACACTTGTAAACTGAGTTCTTTAAAAATGGCCCCATTAAGTTCAATAGATACATTGAAAGGCTGCCTGTTCAACAGAAATGATCAGGTTTTGTAGAGCCCCTCTTAAGAGATTTGTGGAATCTCTAGGGATTCAGGGGAAGACCATTTGAGGGTCAAAAGAATATTGAGTTATTGGTAGGAGTTTTCACCTATTGGATTTTTCAGTACACAGTACTGTAAGTGGGGTAGGGTAATAGGGCTTTGTCACAAGGCACTGAATTTACTAGGTGCTGATAAAACTTGTATAAAAACAGAAGTGTTTTGTACCTAGTAATTTTTGTACCTAGTAGCATGAGTAATTCATTAATTGAGGAAGCTACCAGATGATGAGCTCAGGTCAATTCTTTTCCCCACCACCTAACCCCATCTTCCCCTCAGCCTCAATGGAAAATTCCCTTTAGGGCAACAGACCTAGAAATAATTTGTGGAACTTGCCCCAGATTCCAAATTTCTCAGTTACAAGTCTATCCACCCTTGACAAATAATGCTAAGATAATAATAAAGTAATTTTAATTTTTTTTTCAAAACTCTGACAGACAAGCTTTAAACAGTTCTTAGCAAAGAAACGTCTACTTTTCTTTTTTAATTAAATCTTGTCACAATGCCTTCTCCTCATCCCCAGTTCCGCTAACCCATTAGACTCATTTACAAGAATGCTAGCCGGGGCATATGTGGGCATTTCAGGAAGTAATCTATAGAAGACATTTCTTAATGCATCTAAAGTGGCTTGTTTACTGTAAAGATCAATGAATCGAAACTTCTTTGTCCCATGTGCCATGTATGACCACAGAATTGCTAGTGTAAGCAAAATCACGGCAAAATAAATTTCCACATTCCCTTTGCCATCTGGGCTCTAGGGACACTTACATTTTTTTGCATTTCGCTATGACCATTTCACGCATAACTTTCTTGGGCTCCTCATAACATGGTAAAATATTGTGACCAAAGAATGAAAAGTTAGATATACATATATATGCCCATATATATTATATCTACATATACATAGCAATGTATATGCTTACAGTACAGTAGCAATGCTGGGGAATAACCGTTGGCATCAAATGTAACCTGCATGCATGGAGAAAGTTCTCTCTGGCCCTTCCTCGGTATTGAGGGTATTGAAGGTCCCCGGTATGTTTCTGCAGTCCCATTCTTGATGCTCCTACACTGTTGGGTACAACATCCTGTCCTGCCACAGCAGGGAAAATGGTATGAGAAGCTTCATTTTGTTTGGAGCCCATTCTAGTGCTACCTGCCAATGCTGTAATGTTGTGTCGAGATGTCACTTGAAGGATGAGCATCCAAAAAGAAATCGAATCAGTTGCCCCAGCAGAATAGACAACGGCACTTAATGGCCATCCTTACCTTTGCCGAGCGTGTCCAACGTTTGGAAAAATGCTTTCACTTATATCAGCTCCATTTTATCCTCCCAGCCACCCTATGAGATCTGCAGGCCAAGGATTATTTTCTCCATTTTTACTGATGAGGAAATTTAGACTAGGAGAGATGAAGTGACTTTCTCAAAATCACACACTGAAAAGCCAAGAGGCAGTGCCATGAGTCCTCCAGGACCGTTTCCAGTAGGCTGCGCTTCCTTCTGCAGTTTAGCTTCTCCAATTTTTGCTTTTAGAGGAAGATAAAACTACAAATTTTGAATTATGGAAGCTAGCTATTTTCACATCTATTTTGAATGCATTTGTTTCTCACTTCCTCTCCTATTGTTATTTTGTTTGAAAGATGATGAAACATACGCTTGAGTTATAAAAGTCATTTTTGGAAAGTTCCATATGCGAATTGTCCAGAAGCTTGAGTGGCCATGTTTTCTGTGGCTCTGTTACCACTTATCACTCATGGCTGCTTTGGGGGGTTCACTTTTGAAACATTTGCAGACACATTCAGAGGAGAGAAAATGTCTGGAGTTGGATGCACGATTTAAGCAAAACATTCTTACTCCTCATCATTTTCCAAGTCAAGGAAATCTCAGATGTGTGTAGGCCAACAAAAAGGGACGGCAGTGCATGAACTTTTGTAATTTAACTTCTTTTACTTCTAAACAACTGGTAACACTTATCTACATTTGTGGAGTAGTACCTACTTAACACAACGATTTGTTAAACCAAGGAAAAATGAAGTTGCTACTTTGGCATTCAAGTTGACGTTAACTTATTATTATATTGATTAAGAACCATCACCTCACAACTGAACTTCACTTTTCTTATTACTTAATAATGATGAGATAGTTATGTCGCTTGGTTGTTGGCTGGCTTGCATGGGTCATTCATTAAAAACAATTTTTTATTTGCTAGATACCCATAATATCTGCCGAACATCTGACTAGCCACAAGTATGTTACCCAGATGTAGAAATTTCATCACCAAACAGTAAGTTTCTCATCCATTATATGTAGTTGTGTACTTCCTATAATTTGTAAAGATTACATAAGCATACAATACTGCTATTAAAAGACTTTAGATACGTTCTTGATAGGGGAAAAATCCATTTACTTTTTAAGTATCCTTATGTTTTGTATCATAGATATCTGGGATATTTAATGTAGACACATCTAAAAGTTATAATGATTCTTAAAATAAACTTTATAATAGAAAGGAGAAAGAAATAAATCAAACCAAGATGGAATTTTTTTCTTTTATATCATGAAATTTCCATAAGAAGGGAGGAAAAATCAAATCCTAATTCTAAATCTGAGGCAAAGTTTAGAACTATAGAGCCCTAATGTATTATTTAGATTTATCGCCTCAGAATTATATTTTAGATTACTAAAAAGATAATGAATATACATATGTGTACATATATGTATATATATGTGCCCCCATACCTGCACTGTATTCAAAGAATACAAGTATATTCGTTAATTAATTCAAAAGTATTTATTAAGCCATGGCTATGTGCGGGTCACTGTGCTTAGGCCCTGGGCAAACAAAGGAAGATAAATATGGTCCCTGCCCTCAAGGAATTCTTCTAATGGAGGAGAACACATGTGAAAAACAGAATAGATGCCAGGTAATATCAGAGGGAACAAGGACATATATATAATATGACTATTTTTTTTAAGCAAACATAAGCACAACCAATCGAATCTTGTCCCTTTTGAGTTAATCATGTTGTGAAGCTAAACCCTTATTCCAACAATGTAGAACCAACATTGCTGAACCCCCTTTTGGACCTCACCTTTGGCACGGTCTTCAGAGACACCTCTTGGGCCATTTTTGTTTATTTGTTTGTTTTTAACATCTTCAATGGCAGTAAAGTCTTTGGACTCAGAAGATAAGAATGACTTTTGAGAATAGGGGGATTTGGTGCAAGTCAACAAACTTTTAATAAGTGCCCACTATGTCCAGGTGCTGTGCTAAGCACTGGAGATGCAAAAAAAAAAAAAAAAAAAAAAAAAA